AGCATGGTGAACTTGACGGTGCTAGAGCGACATCTCTGGTTGAACTTAACAGTAGAGGGTTCAGCGGTAAAGGGTTTCGTGGAGCGTTTCACAGAGGCACAGAAAGCGTCGCAAGCAATGTAGCCCCACCCAGCGGCTGAAGTCCGTCACTGCTCTCATTCAACGAGACGACAGCAGTTCCCAGAGCGCCTGGGACCCCGACCCAAGATTGTGTTGGACGCCGAGCCTCGGAAGCCTTCCTAGCCTGTATGACAGGAAGGAAAAAAGAGTGGTTGAGTCCCGCCGCGGCTAGACCACCCTCCAAAAAGCCTTTTACACATCTACCAGTCCCCTCTTTAGTTCAGGCGGCTGGAGATGCCAACATTGCAGTCAACGAGTCTGTGGTGAAACATGCACGCCTGCAAACAAATGCAAACAAACAAAACAGCGACGCAAATAACACACGAAAAGAGTACTTTTCTGTCTGTTCTCCCTCCGGCTCGCGCTGGAGGTGTAATAAATTTGGAATGTGTGCCCACGATAAAGTACGCACCCCTGGACATAAGCACTGTTCCCATAGTATTAGTTCTCTCTCCGGCTCGCGCTGGAAGTGTAATAAATGTAGGCTGTGTGCCCACTATAAAGTACGCACCCCTGCACATAAGCACTGTTCCCACAGTATCACAAACAGAAAACAGCTGGGTCCCTATCACAAAGCGGCCCGTCCCCAGACTTCATTCAACCCCTAGCTATGCGGGCCAAGGCCTGGGAAGCCATCTCCGGAATATCAAAATGAGTGTTGAACATAATAAAACGGAGCTACTCGCTACAGTTTACTCGCAGACCCCCGCGCTTTCTAGCTGTGGTCGAGACATAGGTGAGAAGCAACGTGGTTCACGTTCTTCGCACCAAAGTGTCAAAACTGTTAGTTAAAGGGGCTGTAGAGCCAGTCCCTTTATCACTAAGCAAGTCGGGCTTTTACAGTCGCTACGTCCTCGTTCCAAAGAAAGATGGCGGCCTCAGGCCCATCTTAGATCTCAGACACCTGAACAAAGCGCTTTTGACACGCCCGTTCAGAATGCTGACAACCAAACAAATCCTCGCTCAAATTCACCCTGGGGATTGTTTTTTCTCAGTGGATCTGGAAGATGCTTACTTTCACATTCAGATAACACCCCATCACAGGCCATTCTTGAGATTCGCCTTCAAGGGGCAGGCTTATCAGTACACGCTCCTACCATTCGGTCTATCCCTAGCACCCCGTACGTTTACGAAGTGCATGGACACAGCTTTCACCCCCCTGAGACAACGGGGAGTGCGAGTGTTGAGTTACCTTGATGATTGGCTGGTTATTGCCCAATCGAAGTCACAGTTAATAACTCACAGATCCTGGCTCCTCATCCATCTAGAATGCCTAGGTCTAAGGGTCAATGCTTTTAAAAGCGTACAGTCTTTTATACAGTCTCCCAGCCAGAGTATATCTTTTCTGGGGACAGTCATAAATTCTATACAGATGAGAGCGCAGCTTACGTCAGAGCGCGTGCTCACCATCCAGCATCTTGCACGCCTCTCAAGAGATTTCAGAGGATGTTAGGCGTCATGGCCTCAGCATCATCAGTACTCCAACTGGGTCTACTGTATATGCGTCCCCTCCAGCGCTGGTTAAAACCCTGTGTACTGGCTTACGCGTGGCGATCTGGCCACTTACGCATCAAAGTTAACCAAGGCTGTGTCAGAGCCCTGGTTCCTTGGAAAGCAGCCGGCTGGTATCAGTCCGGCGTGAGTATGGGCATGATTTCGAAGAGGAAAGTGATCTTAACAGACACTTCCAACATAGGTTGGGGGGCCCTATACGAGGGGAGGCCCATCTCCGGCCTTTGGTCGAGCCCGGAGAGGCGCCTACACATAAACTGTCTAGAGATGAGAGCGGTCGCTCTATCACTTAAAGCTTTCCTCCCATACATAAAAGGTCACAACGTCTTGGTCCGGATGGACAACATGTTAATGGTTTCCTATAAATATCGCCAAGGTGGACTCCTGCACACCATGGCCAAACACCTCTTGATATGGGCTCAGCTCAACCTGTGCTCGCTGAGAGCGGCGCACGTGCCAGGCATTCTGAACCAGGGTGCGGATATGCTATCCAGAGACAATGTCCCCCCGGGGGAATGGTCTCTTCACCCGCAAACGGTTCAGCTGATATGGAGCATCTTCGGCGAGTCAGAGGTCGACCTCTTCGCCTCAGAAGACAACGCTCGTTGCCAAACATTTTTCTCCAAGGGCAGGGATGCGCTGGCCCAGGACTGGCCAAGCCACCCGCTGTATGCATTCCCTCCAGTCACGATGCTACCTCAGGTCATCGAACGGATCAGGTAGAGGAAGTGTGCAGTGCTCTTGATAGCCCCTCTCTGGAAGAACCAGCTAGGGTTCTCCGAGTTGACTCAGCTGCTGGAAATAGCCCCATGGCCAATACCGCTGAGGAGAGACGACCTCACGGAGCCGAACGGGACGATCTGGCATCCCCGTTCCGACTTGTGGGCCCTCCATGTATGGCCCCTCAACAGGTATCCGGGAACCTCCTGGAAAGGGTGCTAAATACCATTTTTGAAGCAAAGAGCGCCTTCAAACACGCATCTATATGCTCTAAAATGGTCAGTGTTCTCTGGCTGTCGCACAGCACAGAGCCTAGACCCCTACTCATGCGGACAAGGGTACTTTCCTTTCTACAAGAGCTTTTGGACGCGGGTAGCATCCCCTCCATGCTTAAAGTATATGTGATGGCTATAGCAGCACTTCACGCTCATGTGGCCGGGCAATCACTGGGAAGAAAGACCTAGTCTTGTGCTTCCTCAAAGGGGCCAGAAGGCTAAACCTGCCTCGACCCCCCCCCCCCCTGTACCCATCTGGGACCTCTCCACGGTCCTGGAGGCCATGAAAGGGGCCCCTTTCGAGCTGCTTCAGTCTGCTGACCTGAAGCCTCTTTCGCTCAAAACTGCTCTCTTGTTAGCACTGGCATCAGTCAAGCGAGTGGGTGATTTGCAAACATCTCAGTGAGCGCTACCTGTCTTGAATTCGGGCCCAGCGACTCCAGAGTCGTCCTTAAAGGCACACTATGCAAGAATTGTACCTTAATATAACAGCTTCAAAGTCATTTCGGTGGTAAACAAACTCATAGTAGGGTGAATCATCCTGGTAGTAAAGCTTGGGGGGGGACGCCGCTGTAAAAACCAGCAATGCAAGTTTGAGAGGAGCGCCCCAGACAAATCTCGCGAGAATCACGACATGCTTTACGGCAACGATGTCACACACATCAGCAACAACATATGAAGTACGAAGACACTTGCGCGCATTTCAGACATGATACTCGACGATGGAAAAAGCAAAGAAAATGTGGTCGGAAGAGACTTGGAAAAGGAAAAGATAATCTGACCGCGAGAGGAACCGGAAAAGAGTCCCACTCGGTCGGGCCATAGGGTCGGGCTTTCAATAGTTGGCGCGAACTAAAAAGCAGCACTGGATGCAACAGCGATGCTGACCTGGCGATCTTGTTGATGGACTAAGTAAATCTCTTATTTCTAAACTTGTTTGCGTTCTATGTTGTATGTTGTTGCGCTTGCTTGTAGTATGTCATTTTTTTACGATGCTGTTCATTCATCCATTTTTGATAATTAGACCAGTCCAATAATTTCCACATATGTCTAGCTAGCTATTTACGACAGTGCAAGTATTCCAAAAACATAATTTCTACATAGTGTACCTTTAAGCCAAGGCACGGGTATGTTCCTAAAGTGCTCTCTACTCCATTTAGAGCGCAGGTCATTTCGCTGTCAGCTCTTCCCTCGTCAGAAGACAAAAGAGACGCGAATCTACTCTGCCCTGTGAGAGCTCTCAGAGTCTATTTAGAGGGTTCTGCCCTGAACAGAGGAACAGTTAGACACTGTATTTATACGGAAAGAACCCTTGCTTGTAAAGCGGGAATTTCTAAATGATAAAACCACAAAAATGTGGACGGTGAGGCCCAGCCGGCCGCCGCACAAATATCTTCAATTGGTATTCCACTCGACCATGCCCATGACGAGGCCATGCCTCTCGTGGAATGAGCTCTGATGCCTATGGGACAACGGAGGCCCTTAGACTCATAAGCCAGCGAGATAGCCTCATGACCGCAAGACCTTTGGTGTGTCTCTCAGCCATATTTTCAATTGTGGAAATATGGCATCTATAGCCTAAGATCGATATTGTTTAAAAATTATATGTTGAGTCTGAACATTAACACTTCTTATAGGCCTGTGCTAAAAATTACAACCTTGTTGTATGACTTGATTGACTGCATTAAAAGTTTCCACATATACAATCTAAATATCAGACTTTGAATGTAATTTAAGTCATTAAGTGACAAACCTTTTCAGTTTACTTTTTGCTATAAGGGTCAAAAGTCCTGAGATACTCCCTCAACTCCCTCTGGGCAGACTAGGCCATTTTGCTCATTAAAATATTATCAGGTAAATCTGAAAAATAACAGATTAAATGAATTACAAGTCACATTTTGAATTGTGGTAGCAATTACTGATAAACTGAGACATGAGGGAAAACTGAGATTTAAGGATAAAATTTAATAGGTCATTATATTTAAAAAAAAAAATCAGCCCCAGAAAATAATGTTTGATGAAATCCTCTTCGTCACTATTTGCCGGTGACATATTCATTTAAAATACTTCTATTACTCTTCTGTAATCACATTCTTGTAAATTCTTGTCACCTGTTCCTAAATAATAAATTACTAATATACACCATCTATATCTTGTTGATTAAAAGAATCTAATTGTCATTGAATATTGGAAGTTACACCATCAACATTGTAATCAAGCAGTGCAATATCTAATCAATAACAAAGCAATTTTCAGCACATTTTAAATTTACATGTGATCATTTACCAGACACTTTTATCCAAAGTGACATACAAATGAGGAGAGCAATAGAAGCAATAAAAAACAATATGGCAACAATATGGAACAACCATTCCCAGTTTAGTCTACAAAAAGATGCGTCTTCAGCAGTTTTCATGGTTCATCACAAATAGAAGAATCTTACATTATTTATTAGTGAGTTCAAATCCTCTATTAGATCATTGTGGAAATCTGATGTCATCTGTGATTAAAAAAAAAAAATTCAGACCCACAAAAAGATCCAAACAAGAAACTGCTGTGAAGTCACACACACACACACACACACGAAAGTGAGATCGCTGTGACGTCTCTGTGTCTTCAGTCTGTGTGACTGTGACGTCTCTGTAGCGGCTCCTTATTCACCATCAGCTCACCCTGAGGAAAATAGAATTAAACACACAGACAGTCACATATGGAGTACGAGACATTACTGCGGTCACATCACACCAGTAGATTCATTTCAGAACAAACACAGGCAGAGATACATACAGAGTACATTAATATTACAGCCAGAGATGTAAAGGTGAGGAGAACATCAGAGCTGTTGTGCCGCACGCGGGGGAACGACAAGCTGCGACAGTCGGAGATTCTGGTCAAGACCATTGTGAAAAGATCATCGTGTCAGGAACACTTCCCACTTACCCTCGTGGAAACCAAAGGTTCAGTAGATTATTCACATTATATGAATGATGTGATGAACAGAAACTACTCTCTCAATTAATTGTAATCTTGTAATTGTAAGATTCTTCTGTGAGAATGGCCTGCAGCCCAGAGTCAGAGCAGACCTGCTGTCGGACATCATCTATGTACTGATTAAATGATAATAGCACATGTAGTCCATTCCATAGAGACTGTGTCTGTTCTCAGAATAATGAGAACAAATATTGTTTATTACAGGATCTAGGAAAATAACTGAGCAGTGAAACTGCCCGCTGTTCTTCAGAAAAATCCTCCAGGTATTGCACATTTATAGGTTTTCCAGCATCTTCTGCATATTTGACACCTTTCCAACAATGACTATGATTTTGAGATTCATCTTTTTACATCAAGGACAATTGAGTGACTCATACACAACTATTACAAAAGGTGAAAACATTTACTGATGCTCAAGAAGGAAACAATGCATTACGAGCAGGTGGTGTAAACTTTAAACAGGATTATGATGGTGTGTACATATTTTTTAAAGATCATCTTTTTTTCATTTAGTACTGCCCTTCAGAAGCGAATAATTCCCTGTTTCACAGAAGACAAAATAATTACAATTTATCTTGTTCATGCAATTTAAAAAGTTTACACACCTTAGCTTTAAATGCATTGTGTTGCATCAGTAAAAAAAATTAAGTTATTTTTTTCTAAAAATATATATTTTTCTCTTCAAGAAATACTGTGTAAAACTGATGTTGTTAAAAATAGTATGCAGGGGAAAACCAAGTCCTATGTTTGGTGGACCCTGTGTGTTACAAACCTTATTAGTATTCCAAAGTATTCTAAATTATTTAGATTAGGTTACAAAGCTTGTGTAATCTAACGAAAACGGTTACAAATTACTGTATTTTGTAATCTGTAGTAAATAATCTACTTACAATAGTGTCTCCAGTTTATAATGTGGATCATTCTTTAGATCAGAGAGAAGCTTGATGTCTGAATCTCCTAGTTTATTCCCAGTCAGATCCAGTAGTCTCAGGTGTGAGGGGTTTGATCTCAGAGCTAAAGTCAGAGCAGCAAAACCTTCATCTGTGACTCCACAATCACTCAACCTGTAGAGAACAATGACACTGTGTAAACGGTGTGTAAAAGTACCATTTTATTAAAGATTGCAATGTGTGATGTGATTTGAATGTAGTGACAAGCAATGCCACTATATTCTACACTGTTTTATAAAGGATGCCGGTTTTCCGTGTTCTCGAGGTAAAACTGAGGGACAAATACCATGCAGTAAAATTGAATGAATTAATCCAGTTAGGGAACCATATTAAAATCACTTTAAAACTTCTTAATTATGTTACTTGGAAATGACTTGATTCCATGATGTTGACATTATGTGAACAAATTATCTTTGTTTAACTTGATTGGTTCATGTGAAATGATGTGCATGATTAAATCATTTAAATCCAACACACTTTTTCAGTGCATTGTGTTCTGTTTTAAAAATAAATAAATTTACTGTAAAACCTTAAGAATGTCAACATTGAAAAGTAGAAGATTAATCAATTTGTTAAAGAAATGTAAATTATTAGACGGCCTTGAAGCCTTTTTGTCCCTGATAATATTATTTTTTCTATTTCTTTTTCCTTTTTTATAGATTTGTGCTTTGTTCTTTACAGCATGTATTATAGTTTTGTTTTGCCTTATTGTAATGGTATTTACTGCAATAAAACACTTCCGCATTCCTGGATTCCTATGGAAGTCTATGGGTGTTGTAACTGTCAGTTCAAAAACACTGTTGTTTTAATATAACATTTATACTTTGTGTATTAGTGTAATGTTTTGTCTTGTTTGTGATGTGGAGTATATATATATATATATATATATATATATGTATATATATATATATATATATATATATATATATATATGCTGGGAATAACATTAATGTTTTAGGATTAGCATGTTTAATCAAGCATTGGCTCACCGGTGATGTTCACTGATTTAACTGAATATTTATTTAATGTGCATTTGGACTGATGTAAGTATCACTCACTTGTAATTTATTGTTTAACTGAGCGTCTATGAATCACACATACAACTACTGGTTTTGGTTTTCCTGGTAAAACTATAATTGTACAGAAAATGAGCTCTCAATAAAATGTATTCAATTGTCTCTCATTTGTGTTGTGTGGATGTGTAATTGTTTGGTTGCACTCCTTCTTCAGACCCGAAACAAGCAAAGTTGGTGATCAATGAGTAAAAAAGTTTAAACTATTACATTACTAATAAAGAATATATTTAGCAAGGACAAATATATATGTGTTTATCAGAGAGTTCATCTTACCACAGTTTCTCCAGTTTACAGTGAGGATCCTCCAGTACAGCAGAGAGCAGAGGAACTGAATCTCCTAGTTTATTCACAGACAGATCCAGTAGTCTCAGGTGTGAGGGGTTTGATCTCAGAGCTGAAGTCAGAGCAGCAAAACCTTCATCTGTGACTCCACAATAACTCAACCTGTAGAGAACAATGACACACTCTTCACTCTCTCAGTTCAGATCAGTTTAGCAGTGAATTCATTATTAAAGAGAAAATACAAACTTAAAGCACAAATCAAAATGTTTGATGGATCATTGGACTGAGATCTAAAATGTCACAGAGCTCAAAACATGATTACTAAAAATCTAGTCTTTTTTTTTTTTTGATCTGTACTAATACAGTACGTATGGAGTAATGATTTGTTTTGATTGTGTAAACAATATTTTAAAAACAGTCCCTGCAGAAAAATGAACGTGATGAACTGCAAGAATAAATCCAGAATGTTCTTAATTTCTAAATTCTGAATGTGTTGAGATCGAGTCGGTTTAAAATCAAGAGACTGAAGTGTTGATTGTGATGTGACTGTATTTCAGTGACTCAGTCCTGCAGAATCATGTGACTGAAGAGCAGCTCAAGTGTTCAATCACTTACAGTTCAATAAGCTCAATAACAGCAGCAGAAAAAGGCTGAACATTTTAAATATAGGCTTTACACTGTGTTTTATGAGTGAGTCATATATGATCTTACCACAGATTCTCCAGTTTACAGTGAGGATCCTCCAGTACAGCAGAGAGCAGAGGAACTGAATCTCCTAGTTTATTCCCAGTCAGATCCAGTAGTCTCAGTTGTGAGGGGTTTGATCTCAGAGCTGAAGTCAGAGCAGCAAAACCTTCATCTGTGACTCCACAATACCTCAACCTGTAGAGAACAATGACACACTCTTCACTCTCTCAGTTCAGATCAGTTTAACACAAGTGTCCGCAGCCGTACTGCAGGGCGTCTGTCAATTAATGCTTGATCACAAATAATTTTTTGTTAAATTAAAACATGGGTAAAAACATCACAAATTCAAATTTTTGTCAAATTTAAATAAAAGCACTCTCAAATGAATGCAAGAGCACCCTCAGTTGATTCTGTAATAATATCATACTGGCAAACTCTCAAGTGTGTTTTTGTGTTTGAACTCTGGAGAACGTCAAATGTTTCTATTTACAATGTGTTTTTACAGCGGTGAGAAATGTAGCCAATCACAGACATGTTTGTTGGTCTATTAAACGCAGTGGCCAATCAGAGGCGTTTCATTTTGTCAGAATCCACTCACCGAGATTTAAAGGCCCTGTCCCAAATGGCACACTTCATATGCACTTTCTGTCTTGTAGACTTACAATGGCTTCCGCGTCCCGTTAAGTCCATGATACTGTAGGGTGTCCATTTAGTAATTTTAGGTTTCAGAAGGGGACTCACGAGCGCCGCTCAGCGGTCGATATGTGCCCTACATGCACAATTTTGCTGAGCCCACACTGAAGCGAGCTCCGCAGCAGACTTCTTCCCGACAGTCAAAGCGGCGTTTGTCACGAAAGTGCGGACTCAGAGGAAGACCGCGAGTGTTTAGGGTGCCATTTGTGACAGGGCCAAACTCACAATTAAGTGACATAAATAACAATTGCAAGAAAAAGTCAGAATTGCGAGATAAAAAGTTACAATTATCTTTTAAATTGTTTTATCCCGTGGCAGAAACAAGCTTCCATAAATTCGAGGCAACCAGTGGCGAATTAGTCTTCCAGGTTTTGATGTCATCCCTGAAGCTCTATTCACAGTCAGCTTTCCTTTCACATCCCCCAAATGCCAACAAACCAATGAGAACGCGGAACAATGATGATGATGATGCATAATAACAGAACGTAGGCACCAACGTTGTGGATACACTTACCCAAAACCCTCCATAACTTTTCAATGAATTTCACATTTATTTGTATAGCGAATAAATGTAATTTATTAAAGTAATTTCTATTATTTGCGTTGCCTTATAATTTCATGCTTGAAGTTTAACACGTAAGTGTTTATTACCACAACAGTAATTAAGTGTCTTTAGAAATGTTATAATATATATTATAATGAAAAAGACTAATAAAATTGTCTCTTCATATTAAATGGATAACAATATATGTCTGGACACACTTGAAAAATGTGTAATAATGTGGTCTATAAAACTTAAATATTTAATGATTTATAAGCATTTCACATATTTCTACACTAATTATACAAAACTGCTATACTGCCAGTACACCATACTGTACAAATGAACTAGATCAATGTTCATTCTTGTCTGAAACTTTGGAGGAGACAAATATGAGACCACCAGGGTCTTTAGTTTAGGAAAAAAATCTGAGCACAGTGTGTGATGTTGCTGAGATTTCTTCCAAACTTTAGAGGAGACAAATATGAGATCTCCAGTATGAAGAGCCGTATAGGCAACAATTATTGAAAAGCATTTCAAACACTATAGTGAAACGAAAAACATTGATCAACCTTGGTGAAATTCATTCATACACATTACTGAAATAAGAAAATATTTCGGTAGTTGATGATGGCTAATTTCCCTTGAAAAAGAAGTTGTGTGTCCGCACTTCTGTTTAATGTGGCGCGTCTCACAAACTCTTAAGCAATGGCGGTTAGTTGTAGCGAGTTGTATGGGAAGCCAAACACACCTTCAGTGGGACGAAACGGAGCGGTGTTACAGAGCTCGTGCCGTGCTGACATCATCGGTGCGGCTCAATGGACCGAGCTGTGCGACCGACTCGACATCGCAGAGAGGACGTGTTTGCCAGCGAAACCGAATGGACAGCGCAAACTAATCTCACCAGCGCGACACTGACCATGTAACTTTATTCATCACTGCTCCACAGAAGTTCAGGTGTTTTCCCTGCATATAAGACCATGAAGATCAGCATGAAGTTATTACATTTCTTTTGCTTATTATCTTTCATATTAGTACATTAGTAGTGTTTGAAAAGCTACTTTGAAGAATTGTATTTTTGTAGCTACGGAAAGAGCTGTTCAAAGCAGAAACTTCAACGATTAAGGATTGTGCAGTGCTGGGGGAACGTCTCTGGTTACTCACGTAACCGTAGTTCCCTGAGAGGAGGGAACGAGACATTACGTATGGGGAAATCCATTTTCCTCGAATCATGAAGTCTGATAGAATAACTCTTTTGCTTGCAAATAGCCAATGGCGGTCCCGCCATCACCTGATTGGCTGACACTGCTCAATATAGGTGACGGCGGGCGCCAAAAACCTCAGAATCTTAGCTGAACGAGAGTAAGGAGACTGAGAGTCCCTCCCACACGGCAGGTTACGTAATGTCTCGTTCCCTCCTCTCAGGGAACTACGGTTACGTGAGTAACCAGAGACGTTCCCTTATCGAGTCGGTCTCTCGACATTACGTATGGGGAACAATAAAACCCCCGCCGCGTGGGAGAAACCCCGCCCAGCTCTCAGGAACAGACACCGGACCTGGTTGAAACATCTATTGGCACAGAGCCAACTCGGCATCTGCACCAACGAAGGCCCCTCCCATCAAGCTAAGCACGCTGAACTGAATGGAGGGAGATTGCAGCAAGTGATTGGTGCTTAGGAAAATACTGCCGGCTATGAATGCGGACATAACAAAGGGCACAATATAGTGAACATGATAGCTATGCTAATAATAACTCGCACTGTCTGACGACTAGTCGAACCGTGGCTAGAGCGCGCGCCATCGGGGCAGTCTAGCCTAGTCCAACGACAGCTCAGCTTTCTCTCCCTGCACTGACAGACATGTGGTGCGAATGAAGGGATATTCAAGTTATAGAATCTCCCGAAGGTATTACGAGACGACCAACCTGCCGCGAAACAAATGTCTTGAATAGACATGCCTTTCGCCCACGCCCATGATGACGCCAAACTCCTAGTGGAGTGGGCGTGCACCCCTATAGGGAAACGGCTTCCCGTGGAGCATAAGCCAGCCAGTGCACAGCCTCCACTATCCAGTGAGATAGCCTCCGTTTCGACAGCGCGCCGCCTCTTAGCACCCGCGTAGCAGACGAAGAGCTGCTCTGAAGTTCGAAACTGGCTAGTTCTGTTCACATAAGCACGCAGGGCACGCATGGGGCACAAGCGTACTTCTGAGACTCTGAAACACTGACCTCATCCGGGCAAAATGCTGGAATTGCAACCACCTGGGCTCTGATGAATTTACGCAGTAGATAATAGCCCCATAATAGCATAGCACCTCAGTAAACAACAAACACATAGCCGTAGCTACAACTGTGAGTAGACGAGTTAGCACAGAATAGCCAGTTGTACTGAAGGAAACGGGGCAACATAACAGCATAGCACATGTACGTAACAGCATCGGTCGCTGTAGCGCATCCATGCATGTACATAACGCAGCATAAGTCGCCGTAGCAACAGAACTGCGTAGAGACAGAAACTGAGATGTACAGTTCGGTCAGGATGGCTAGCTGCACGGAAACGGGGCAGCATTACAGCATAACATAATGTGGTAAATTGCACATCCGTGTACGTACATACATTCAGAAACTGTGAGTATGCACAGTAGATTAAGATAGCTAGTTTTGCACTGAAAGAAACAGAGCAACAAAATAGCAACACGCGTCCTTATACGTACATAAGTGCAGTGTAGTCGCTGTAGCGACAAACTGAATATGCAGTTAGATAGGATAGCTGGTTGTTGCACTGAATGATAGAGGGCAACATAACAGCATAACACATCAGTGTGCACATTTTAAACATCTGTGTGTATAATGCAGCTCAAGTTGCTGAAGCGACCGAAACTGCATGAATATGCGTACACAATGGTCCATTACATTGAAGGGCAGCATAACGCTTCAATATCTACACAGATGCAATGCAAGTCGCCGTAGCGACGACTGAGACTATGCACAAGCATAGTTACATTTTTGTGTAAAAAAAACACAGCGTCAGAGGCATAGCGACATCGACTGTAAATACGTAGTTAATCGGAATAGCCGGCTGCACTGAGGATACGGGGCAACATATAACGGCATAAATCATAGACACATATCAATGTACATAACACAGCGTCTGTGGCATCGCGCAACAACTGTGACTACACAGTAAAAGAGTAGCCAGTTGCACTGAAGGATACAGGGCAATATATAGCGGCGTAATAGCTACACATATCAGTGCGTTGTGTGTACACAGCGTCAGTTGCATCGTACAACAATTGTGAATACGTAGTGATCAGAATAGCCATTTGCACTGAAGGATAGGGCAAAATATGACGGCATAGATCATAACACATATCAGTGTGTAGTGTGCACAAACACAGCGTTAGTTGCATCGCACGACAACTATGAATACGCACTGCGTAGTAATCAGGATAGCCATTTGCACTGAATGACACAGGGCAATATATAATGGCATAAATCATTACACATAACAGAGTGCGGTGTGCACAAACACAGCGTCAGTTGCATCGCACGACAACTATGAATACGTAGTAATCAGAATAGCCATTTGCACTGAATGACACAGGGCAATATATAAGGCATAAATCATAACACATATCAGTGTGTAGTGTGCACAAACACAGCGTTAGTTGCATCGCACGACAACTATGAATACGCACTGCGTAGTAATCAGGATAGCCATTTGCACTGAATGACACAGGGCAATATATAATGGCATAAAACATTACACATAACAGAGTGCAGTGTGTACGTAACACAGCGTCAGATGCATCGCGCACGAACTGTGAATACGTAGTAATCAGAATAGCCATTTGCACTGAATGACACAGGGCAATATATAAGGCATAAATCATTACACATATCAGTGTGCAGTGTGTACAGCGTCAGTTGCATCGCGCAACAACTGTGAATACGTACTGCGTAGTAACCAGAACAGCCATTGCACTGAAGGACACAGGGAAATATATGGCATAAATCATTACACACAACAGTGTGTAGTGAGTACGTAACACAGCATCAGTTGCATCGCACAACAACTGTGAATACGTACTGCGTAGTAACCAGAATAGCCATTGCACTGAAGGACACAGGGCAATATATGGCATAAATCATTACACACAACAGTGTGTAGTGAGTACGTAACGCAGCGTCAGTTACATCGCGCAACAACTGTGAATACTTACGGTGTAGTAATCAGAATAGCCATTGCACTGAAGGACACAGGGCATTATATAATGGCATAAATCCTTACACATAACAGTGTGTAGTGAGTACGTAACACAGCGTCAGTTGCATCGCACAACAACTGTGAACACGTACTTGTAGTAATCAGCATAGCCATTGCACTGAAGGACACAGGGCAATATATAATGGCATAAATCCTTACACATAACAGTGTGGTGTGTACGTAACACAGCGTCAGTTGCATCCCGCAACAACTGTGAATACACACTGTGTAGTAATCAGAATCGCCATACAGGGCAATGAATGCTGCGGCGGGGGCTGGGCGCCAGCCACCGGGAAAGCATTGACTGCTATATGAAATGGTATAGCTCGTCCGCGGCATCATGCACGGGGACATAGATAGCCATCTCCTCGGGTTTCCCCGAGCTTCCGCTCTGCGATGCGTCTCCCATCTATGAGGCGGGTAATAATGTTGGGGAGAGAAGCTCTTTTGCTGAGACATGTAATGTACCTTGTTATTGAAACAGAACACAGCGGTTTCAGAAACAACACATTCTCGTCGAACTCTGGGCGGGAACACGCCCTCTTCGCACCGGTCCGACAAACACGTCCCGTGCTCTTTCCTCCCTGACACGCACATCAGGAGCGCTGTTTTTTTTTTTTTTTTTTTTTTTTTTTTTTGCGACTTCCTGAACTGCCTCTCGCTTCAGCTTTACGGCCCGCGCCGAGGCCACCTTTCCGACGGCAGCTCCTTTGGGCGCTGTCCACTCCAGCACCATATCTGCCACCGCCTCAGTGAGAATGGCCATAAGCTCCGCATCCAAAGAGGCGAGGGCGCCTTCAGACGGAGACTCGGACCATTGGCGTCGTCATCGTCGTAACCGAACGAGATAATTCCCGTGCTTCCTCAAGAGGGCGGTAAATGGCCTCAAGAGTAACTCACGGGCTCTGCCACGTGAGGATGGCGTGGACCTTAGGCCGACGTCAGCGCCTCAACAGAACCCGCGAATGGAGATCTCTGCCGTCTGCCGGTCCGCGGCTCGACGGCGGCAGACTGGGGAGAGGCAGGAGACAAAAGGTCATCGCTACGTGTAACGGCCAGCCTTGCACGAAGGATCTGATGGGAAGCTCCTCACAGGCGGGACATCCCGATCCCTCGAGTGCCGCCTCTGCGTGGTCCCGACCCAGGCACAGCACACAAGTTGTGTGCGTCCGGGGATTCAATGGGTCCACCACACGGGCGACAAAGAGACATAATATAATCCACCGGAACGCGAGAGGGGAATTAAAACTCCTTAATATACTCCGCTCTGAATGCGTACATCAACGGTGAAAACAGACTCGAGTGAAGAAAAAAGATTCTGAGGTTTTTGGCGCCCGCCGTCACCTATATTGAGCAGTGTCAGCCAATCAGGTGATGGCGGGACCGCCATTGGCTATTTGCAAGCAAAAGAGTTATTCTATCAGACTTCATGATTCGAGGAAAATGGATTTCCCCATACGTAATGTCGAGAGACCGACTCGATAAGGGAACTATAGGATCAGGGTTGGGAACCACTATTATTGCACAGAAACATCATTAGGGAAAACACTGGTGAGTAAACGTGGGGGAACAGGATTGTCACTCTAGTCAGAGTGAAACAGACTCAAATTATTGAACATAATGAATATAATGAAATACTGACTAAATCTAATGGATACATTTTAAAAAGAATGTAAAAATGAACACTAATACCAGATCATGAGATTAGACATTTGAGTACACCTGTGATTTCTGTGCTGAGATTTAGTGTTTATAGAACAGTAAGAATTTTAGGACTAAAATTAGCTTGTAAAATGAGGACAAAGACATGTGTGACTATCAGAGAGACAATCTTACCCCAGATTCTCCAGTTTACAGTGAGGATCCTCCAGTACAGCAGAGAGCAGAGGAACTGAATCTCCTAGTTTATTCACAGACAGATCCAGTAGTCTCAGGTGTGAGGGGTTTGATCTCAGAGCTGAAGTCAGAGCAGCAAAACCTTCATCTGTGACTCCACAATACCTCAACCTGTAGAGAACAATGACACACTCTTCACTCTCTCAGTTCAGATCAACACTACAAGCCACAATTCTACACATACTATTAAATGTCTAAATTTACATTGGAGATTTATAACAGTCATAAACAAATAATAAAGAAATTCAAAAAGCTTTCAACACATGTGCTCCAAAAATCCCAGTTTATATTGGCAGTTTAATAATAGGAGAAACACAGATGAAAGATAATCTTCTTTTGTTGTTTGTTAATTATTGATCCACTGATGTTGTGAAGGCTCAAACAAACAAAAACTTTTTCAATGATTTCAGACAGCAAGAGAGAAACGCAATGGCATCAAATTAAAAAAGAACATCACACACCTGACGGAAACATTTCTGGACCTTTATAAGGAAACAGCCAAGCAACCAAAATGACAGAAAAAGTTATAATAGATAAATTAAATATACTGGTTGCTACATGATTCCCAATTATTTCCATAATTTCACTATTTCCAGTATTTGAACTTTACATTTTCATTTAAATGTTGTAATTAGCAATACATTTAATTGTACCTGTAAAACAGATTTGTTAAATGACAGCATTGATTAAAGTTTCTTACGGGGCAAAAACATGTTTCTAATGGCAGAGCATTTAACTGCATGCACAAGTAAACTACATCTCCTGTAATGTCCGGCTCAGACTAACTGTAGGCCTACATCATGTAAGACTCCAATACAGTTATTAGGTAATTATTCCCTCACAAATAAATCTCTCAGTGAGTAAACTGTTTCTTGATAAACTACACAACATTGAAATAGTATTTTCAATGGGTTTTTAAATTATTATTACTATGATTATTATTATTTTAAGTCATTATTGTACCTGGTTCATTAGGCTACTCTTGTAAGAAAGTAGCAGTGGCTGGAACAGACTTTAAGTATCGCCTGCGCTTGAAAAGATGCAATCTAATCCTGTTTTCATGAAATAAGATGCTCCCAAACAGGGTTGAGCTTACGGACCTGTTGCTATGACAGCAACTCCAGGATGAGCTTTGAAGAACCTAACAATCCTGGATCATGTAAAATCGTCAACAGTAAAATCCAGATAACAGTAATCCACGTATGAAGAACGGGCCCCGGTTCTCCAGTGCATTGTTATACTGAGTTTATGTTTTTTAAATGATTTTTGTTGTTTTCACAGTAATATTCCTGTACTCTCAACAGTTCTCTAGTGTATAAGCCGTGTGTAGTGATGATGTGCCTCCAGCAGTGCTCGAAGTGGGCCGGTACGCACCAGCACTTCTATATTTTAAGCTTTGGTGTACCCTCACTTTTTCTTGTGTGTGCACTTCTCAGTGGCGTCACTAGGCCCCTTTTCTACTCAGACACATGATTTACAATACCTGCTTCTGTGATTCAAAAATGATACATAACATTGAACTATTTATTCAGTCATGGTGATGGCTAGAAGTGTGCACTTTTTTTTATTCCCGGAAAGAGTTAAACAGTGGGGGAGGAGTGAAATTATATATAAAGTATCTTTATTTGTACGTTTTCTGATAGGAGTACCTTTCATTTGTCCATGAAAAATGCAGTTTCTCTGCTCGCTTCTCGACGACTGTTCTTTCACTCAGCACAAGTTTGGTATTGTTTTAAAGCGTAGCAATCCAACTTTGTGAATATTCATAGCGAATTCTCGATGGCATGAGTCTGAACCAATGAAATGTGATTTTCAGACTCATACTGATTTAAACAAAATTATTTTACTCACATTGACTGACACATTCGAAACGTGCCTCAAAGACCGCCTCAGACCGCACGTGACCCCGATATACACTTATACCTACACAGAATTACAGTATTTCAAAATATCTGTCTTGGCGAGTATTCAAGCAAACATTATCTGCTATGTCTTAAGTGAACATTTGGTTAACTGTTGGAGAAAAACATCTGATGTGTAACATTGTATTAGATCAGCAGTACAGTAGGTCCGAATGTAAGGCTGTCTTTTTCGTTAATGTTAATCAAACAATTGTGGGAAAAAAGTTTAATATATATTGATCCTATAGATATTTGGTTTTGACTTGATGTGTGCCAAATTTGGTGTTATTACCAGAGATTTTAAGGTATGGTTGGTAGAGGATTTTGTTTTGGAACCTTCAGAAAACTTTAACTTGATTATTCTCAAAATTGACTTTGACTATAAAATTCAAACAGGTGTAGCTCAGTCATGAAAATTTGCTCATTGCGACTCATTTTGTCAGAATGGGTCACGTATGTAAGCAGATGCATATGTAAAATCAAAACTGATAATGTTTCTTAATGAAATGTCGACGCAGGACGAGGTATAGGACTGTGAAGCGCTGGGGGTGTTGTTGGACTTGATCTACTCATCGTCCTGAATCTGATCCAGACGTAGTCTAAATATCTAATATCTAAAAATTATGTATCTTAAATCAAGATACACAAGCAATTTTTCAGTATACAAGACTTAATATTTTAAGTCATTTTGCTTCTCAAGTAAATGTATCTTCAATTAAGAATACAAAAAAGAAAAGATGACAAAAATACTGAAAAATACATTTATTTTCTGCAGTGTAGTCCTAAAATTTACATAAGCATTTAGTCCAGGGTTCCTCGAATCTGGTTTTGAAGTGCCGCCGTCCTGCAGAGTTTAGATCCAACACTAATTAAAGACCCTGAACAAGCTGATCCATGTCCTCAGAGTTACAGGAAGGGGAGTTTATCAGGGTTTGAGCTAAACTCCGTAGGGCAGCGGCCCTCCAGTGCCAGATTTGTGGAACCCTGATTTAGTCTTACAGAAGACAATAACATGTCTGACTATGATATACCGTAGATGATCTTACCAGAGTTTCTCCAGTTTACAGTCAGGATCCTCCAGTACAACAGAGAGAAGCTTCACACCCGGATCTCGTAGGTTTCTATTATCTAGATTCAGTTCTCTCAGTTGTGAGGGGTTTGATCTCAGAGCTGAAGTCAGAGCAGCACAATCTTTCTCTGTGATTTCACAATCACTCAAACTGTAGAGAGATGAAAATCAGACTTGGTAAACACTATGAACTGAAAACAAAAAGCAATAGAAAATAGAGAAAAAATAGACAATTTGTATATGGAGTAAAGCAAACACTGTACTGTCGTCACTAATGGATGGCATTGTCTCAAAATTACTCAGGAACCTTGAGATCCGACGGTAGCTGCTCGTATCTCAGCCTGCCTGACAGACATTTCTGGCTGGATGAAGGACCACCACCTTCAACTAAACCTTGCGAAGACAGAGCTGCTTGTGGTCCCGGCCAACCCAACACTTCGTCACAACTTCTCCATTCAGCTAGGCTCGTCATCCATAACTCCATCAAGGTCAGCTAGGAACCTTGGGGTTGTAATTGATGATCAGTTGAAATTCACAGACCACATTGCTAGAACTGCCCGGTCCTGCAGATTTGCCTCGCACAACATTAGGAGGATCAGGCCCTTCCTTACAGAGCATGCCACACAACTCCTTGTCCAAGCACTTGTTTTATCCAGACTGGACTATTGTAATGCTCTCCTGGCTGGTCTTCCAGCTTGCTCTGTCAAACCTCTGCAACTGATCCAGAATGCTGCAGCCACAGTAGTCTTTAATGAGCCGAAGAGAGCACACGTCACTCCTCTCCTCACACAATTGCACTGGTTGCCAGTTGCCGCTCGCATTAAATTCAAGGCACTGACGTTTGCCTATACAGAACAACCACTGGCACTGCTCCCTCTTACCTAAACTCATTACTTCAGACTTATGTGCCATCCAGAAACTTGCGCTCTGCTAGCGAATGTCGTCTAGTGGTACCATCTCAAAGAGGCACAAAATCTCTTTCCCGGACCTTTACCATGACTGTTCCCTGCTGGTGGAATGATCTGCCAAACTCAACCAGAGCTTCTGAGTCAGTAGCCACTTTCAAGAAACTGCTGAAGACGTATCTTTTCCGGCAGCACTTGATTCAGTAGTACTAACACTTTCTCTTCTCTTCTATTAAAAAAAAAAAAAAAAAAAACTGCACTAAAATTAAACTGAGAGGGGTTATAGCACTTGCGTATTTTTGTCCTACTGTTAATTTAACTGCTTCTATTGTTCTCATTTGTAAGTCGCTTTGGATAAAAGCGTCTGCTAAATGAATAAATGTAAATGTAACTTTAAACTTGTTTGTTTTAAATTAAGTACATTCGTTAAGTAAGTACTCATTGAAATTAAGTACCTACTCATTGAGTATGCGGCGGGTTGTCACCAACGTCATGTTCTGGGCGGTAACCCGGATGCGCGGCCATTATGGAGGCACTCGGATGTAAACAACGGCATGGATTGCACTGTTTACGTACTACTGAACACATTGTTACACTAATAAACCATGGTAAAAACACGTAGTAGGTGCGAAATCATATAGAGAAGGACTTAGTAAGCAGGAGAGAGCGAAACATTTTGACAAACTAAAGTTAATATGTGGTAAAGGTCCGAACGAGCTAGCTTCTCTAGCCCGTACTGCAGTTCTTCCTTCTATTTCTTATCCCGACACAGGCTACGTTCAGATTGCCAGTCCAAAAAAGCACATGAAATCCGTTTCAAGCTACATTCATATGTGGTTTGAAATCCTATTCAAATCACATATCAGGGCATCGGCTTCAGTCTGAACGATCGGATTTCGCGTGGTATGTGACTCTCACGTTAAATGTAAACGTCAGACGTTGTTAGAGGAAACACGCTGAAAGTCGCTGTCGAAACAATTCTGTGTTGTTGCAAAGTGCCGGACGAGCAGAACATTATTATTTCTGAAACATATTTTGAAACTAGCGCGGAAAAAAAGCTGTAGTGCATAATATCCTCATACAGTTCTGCAGCTCAAGACGCAGTAGTCCAGCGCGGCGGCTACACATTCCCATGTTGTAAAATTTAAATAAGACGACATCTCGATTGCAAATGCAAACCCCTCCATCAACACAATGTCAGTGCCATATTGCCCAAGAGCTGCATGGATACACACATCGGATCTGAACAGTTGCGATACACAGTGTGGACATCATTTTAGATCAGATTCCAATCGGATACAAAGATAATCGGATTTGGACTGACAGTGTGAATGTAGCCATAGTTAAATACGTCAACATTTTAGCCATAGTCAACGCTTGTAAGCATTAACACATGTCATGTGGTTGATGAGCTGATGCTGTGCCTCACCACAAACGCCTTCTTTCATCAGTTTTTTACACTCTTCTCTTTAACTTTTAGCAGTAGATAGAACTCGAAATGTTTTTTCCCTTTGCGACCGATTAGTACAGACCAAAACTCGACCATTTTTCAGCAGCAATAATCAGCCAAATTTGCGAGTCCGTTCAGTTCAATGGCATTGTTTACGTTCAGTGCCTCCAAAATGGCCGACTTCTGGTTTGATGACGCGTCGTGAAACCCTCTATACATTATAACATAAATAATGATTTAAAAACCTGAAAGAAGCAGTTTTTTGTTGTTGTTTTTGGGGGGGGTTTTTGGATAAAAGACGTCGTTATGTTTCGCTTCTCTGTCTGCGCTTCAGAGAGCATCTAAAGCCGCTAAACTTATGGAAAGTTCAGTCAGGGAAACCGTTTCTCAAAGATGCGCAACGATTTATAGATTTATTTGGAACTATTTTCATTGGCGATATAGATCAAAATGTAAGTCATGTAATATTAACAACTTGTTTATTTTAAACAACGTCCTACTGATGTTCGGGACAGCACTCTTCCTCATCTGATAATGTTGCTTAACTTAGGCTATTGTTAGAAATAGAAGGGGAAAAAAACAGGATAGCCTAGAGGAACTTTTTTGTGAATTGTATTCTGTTTCAGAAATGGGCTTTTATTGTAATATCTGTTGATTCATTTTGTTTCAGTGGTCTGTTATGCTTCATAATAAAATATGGCTACCCATCCGCAGCTTTACTTGGTCTTGTTTATGCACCAGCTGCAAATGCTAACAAATAAACAGCGTTAGTTTTTGTATCAACAATCATGAATTAAAAATGCTAAGTCAGTCTTTGTTTGTATTGCATGTTCACTTTTAATACAACGAAACAGCCTAGGTCTCCCATCCCTCACAAACTCGCGGTCGAGTACGTCATAATGATCGCCGCATTCCTCAGAACGCTCGGTGACGTTATAATGAGTGCAGCGGATTTTTTCTTCTTGTAGCGAGTCGGCGATTGAGTGAGTAGCCTATGCTTTTTACACTGGGTTTGGGGATCTGAATTTGAATCTTTATATAATTTGCAGAAGAATCTGCTTAAACTGTGGAATGTTATTGTATAGATTAGCTGTTGCTACATTTAGATAAATAAATAGGCATGGCTACACTGGTTTGTGTGGAAATGAGAGCATGATATGTGAATCAATAATGATCAAATCTTTTTATTTATATAATTGTAGATCATTTATATTCAAATGACAAAATGATAGCAGATCTGATGACACACTGAAGTGATTCTGAAAGCTTATTTGCCTTAAGCTGATTTGTTTAAATCAATCAAATTTGCCTCGACAACCGGCAAAATAAAACATGAATATATACATTTACGTTATGTGCATCGGAGTTATTCACATTAGTAGGTAAATTGATAAAAATAACAATTAACTTTTTTAGCTTCATTGTTCATTTTAAATACATTTCAAGGAGGCTCTCAGCCTCACTTGACTCTTCTGATGGATCGCCACTGGGCATACACTGTATACATTTTTATTTGTATTTTTTAGAAAATTAAAGGCCTACTTGATTTTCCGCGTTCCGCTCCATCTTGTGCACAGTCTTGTCTGCACAGCTATTAGTTGGTGGACCAGTGTGACACTCACAATTTCCTATTTATACTTTAGCAGATGTCAAAGAGCAGTACTGAGTCGTGTCAACATCCTTCTATCTTAACAATCACCTACCGTATGCGTTGTTGAGCACACACCGTTAGCGCGAACACAAAAATTGGCCTACACATGGATGTCTGTTGAACTTCAGATGACAAAATGCGGAATGTGGGTTTACGTTGGGCTTAAGACAACAAGCTTTCAGGTTCTTGTACTGTATGTTTACTCAAATCATCTCTTCCCTTTCTCTTTCTTTCATAGTGTTTCACAGATATACATTGCAAATAGTATTGTTCAGTTCCAGTTCATTTTCTACATATCTAACATCGATATGAGTTTGTCAACCATGCCCACCATTTTTGAGAGTGCAGAGCAGTCATCATCTACTGAGTACTCAGATGAGCTTACTACGGCCCTTGCTGCGGGACGGTGGTGGGCGATAATGGAGGTTTCGGACCCCATACCTGAGGATTATGAGTACGGGGACATCTCAGGCCAGTGGGGGGAAACAATGGAGGCGGGAGAAACATCATGTCCCTCATCCCTGGTCTTCAGTAATGCATCTGAGAAGCCTCATTTCCAGCACTCGGGCTTCTCAGATGCAACACGGAAGACCACACCGCAGTGGAGGCAGAAGATGACGCAGGGAGCACCCTTCTCTTCCAGATCCACACAGAGAGCACCTGTGCCCGCCAGATCCACACAGAGAGCACCTGTGCCTGCCAGAGCCACACGGGAAGCACCTGTGCCCGCCAGATCCACACAGAGAGCACCTGTGCCTGCCAGATCAACCCGGGAAGCACCTGTGCCCGCCAGATCAACACGGGAAGCACCTGTGCCCGCCAGATCAACACGGGAAGCACCTGTGCCCGCCAGATCAACACGGGAAGCACCTGTGCCCGCCAGATCCACACAGGAAGCACCTGTGCCCGCCAGATCAACACAGGGAGCACCTGTGCCCGCCAGATCCACACAGGAAGCACCTGTGCCCGCCAGATCCACACAGGAAGCACCTGTGCCCACCAGATCCACACAGGAAGCACCTGTGCCCGCCAGATCCACACAGGAAGCACCTGTGCCCGCCAGATCAACACAGGGAGCACCTGTGCCCGCCAGATCAACACAGAGAGCACCTGTGC